TCTGCCACTAAACGACTGGATGGCTCTGGCAAGTCACGTATCATCCTGAAGGGTTTGTACTGTCAGTTCTCTTTCGGTAGATCAAAACAAAAACGTTGAAGAGCATGCCACTAAAGACCTCTCTTTGAAACACACTGTTAATCAACATTCTCTGATGACCATTTTCCACTAGGTATGCATACAGTTCATATTGCTCCATCCAACTCATAAGCACAGTGTGAAAGATTTGTTGAAATGAACATGCACAAAATCTAATACAGCTCCCTGGCTGCATATTTCTGTTCACATCTAACCTCAGAAAGAGAACAAATAGCTGGCTACATCTATGTTTAGGATTTCTTGTCTTCAGGGAAGTAAATGTATTGTCAGGGAATAAATCTGAATTTATCTTAAATGTCCCGAGGTAAGGGCCGCTATTTTTTTTTTAACCCTTGTATGTGCAATCTAGTCTCTCCATAAGGAGATCATAACGACGGGTCCTGGAGCTTTTAGGGGGGGCTCAAACACCCTGAGATCATACACAGACGGTTTTCTACATGCATGTATGCACAAACTTTCTTTAGATTTTCAAAGTATATCCATACCTGCTCCCATAAAGTTAACCTAAGTGTTCAGTGCTCTAAGAATGTTCCTTTTTTGAAGCCAGTTTCGTAATTAGTTAATAATTGGTCTAATTCCCAGGGTCTTATGGTTAATATTCTAACCATTAGGCGAGAAGAGTTGGACCAAACACTACTGCTCTGTACAGCTGAACCTGTAAGTACCCTGTTTGAAAATGCAGTGTTCAAATATATGCATAAAAAACACAGGTCATGACACGGAACACACAGTTTTAAAACGCCTTTGCATACTTCATCTTTGTCGATGCTAACTAGCGTGTAATTCTGGGCAAGTCACTCCACCTCCGCGGCAGCCAACGCAGGAAACAGATATAAAAGTGCTGAATGACGAAGGGGTCCGTTTTCCCACCCACGAAGGAAGCAGGTGCAGCGGGTGATCCACACAGTTCCTCCTAGCTCCGAAATCCCAGGCCTTCCAGAACCACCGCCAACCTGGCAAGCTCCAGGGAACGCCGACAGGGCCACCTGTGTGCGTCCTCGGGGAGTCCGGCGGCGCGAGGCCACCCGACGTCACTCCGACCTCACCTCACTTGTTTCCAGAGTCGCGGCCGCTCTCTCCTCAGCCCTGCAGCTCCCCATCGCCCCCTACGGGAACTCGGAGAGCCTCACTCACGCCCACTGACTGACCACACTCTCCGAGCTCCTCAAACACCCAAGCCCCTCAGCAGCAACTCGCGCGCGAACCGTCTCTAACACGCACGGCAGCCAACAAGTGACCAAAGCGGGAAAGCCGCAGCCGCGGGCGCCGGCTTCCTGACGGAGACCGGCGCGCGCGTGCGCACTTGTGCGCCTGCGTAGGACGGGTGCACGCCACCAGGCGCCGGGTTCCAGGGAGCTGGGCGCATGCGCCTCTTGACGCCCGAGGGCCAGCGGAAGAAGGTGCTGCTGTCGATGGCTCCCGCGCGCTTGCGCAGTAACTGAAGGCGGGCGTTTCTTTCCTCCCTTTTTTTCCGAATTCGTTTTGGGGGTAGATTCGAGTTATAAAATGGCGGCCTGGGGCGTGCTCTGCGCCGTTGTCCCAGCCGTCTTGGACTGAGCGTACGGCTCTCCACCTCGCCACCGAGCACAGAAACGAGTCCCCGGGGGATATGGTGTTTGAGACTCCAGGCTTGCTAAGCACCAAGTCCTCCCAGGCTCTCGGCGCGCCGGAAGCGACCTAGCGCGCGCAGCCGGGCGACCAGCAGCCGCCTCCAACGTGAGCACCGCGGTCTCGGCCCCGCTCGCCGCGGCGCCCACGACCCCGCGAGGACTACGGCGGTCGCCGGGGAGGTGAGAGACAGCGGCCAGCGCGGGAGGGGAAGGGGCCGAGGGCGGGAGCCGGGGCCGGGAAGGCGGGGAGCGGGCCTGGGGCGGGGAGTCGGGGTGCGGGGCCAGATGCGGGACCCTGCGGCGGGGAGCCGGGGGTCAGGAGCGCCGGCCGGGCTTGGGGAGGGGGCGCGCGGGCGGCGGGGAAGCCGGTAGGCGGAGGGTGGGGCGGGATGAGAGCGGCGACGCAGGCGGGGCTGTTTGTGAAGCCGGGCCCGGAGCCGGCCTCGGTGCTGCGGCGTCCGACTTGAGTAAGGCTCGCCAGGGCGCGGGGCCCCTGCGGCCCGGGCGGAGGTAGGAGGCCTGGCGCGGGCTTCCCGGTTTACCTCCTGGCGGTTCCTCCCACCCCTTCCCCCGTGACGGTGCCACCTCTCTCTT